TTACCCATTAAAGGAAGAATCTCACTTCCCTGACCTTTCCAAGACTGGCACAGAAATGAATGTGCCAGGCTCCAATCACTGACTTAACCTAAGCTGTCTTATCCAATATCTGCTTCCAGTCCTTCTTTATTCTTTAGGAGGACATGAAGAAAAGTGATAGAAAACTCTGATCTTTATGTCCACTTACTGAAATAATAATGATAGGTGATATTTATAGATTTTAAAGTTCATAAAGAGCTTTACATCTACAACCTCATGAAGGAGATGACATCTGAGTTGTACTTTGCAAGAAGTTAAATATTCGGGGGCAGCTAGGTGGCGCAGTGGATAGAGTACCAGCCCTGAAGTCAGGAGGACCTGAGTTCAAATCCAGTCTCAGACCAAACACTTGACACTTACTAGCTGTATGACCCTGGGCAAGTCACTTAACCCCAATTGCCTAAGGGAAAAAAAAAAGAAGTTAAATATTCTTCAAAATGGAACTGAGGTGAAAATGCATTCCATACACAGGGGAAACCACTTGTGGAAAAGCATGGAAGCAATAGATGACATGTATAAGGACCAATTAGCAAGCCAGTCTGACTGGCATGGAAAATATGTAATGGAAAGTAATATGAAACTAAAAAAGTAGATGAGAGCCATATTATAGAAGGTTTTAAATAACAAGTTGAAGACATTGGATTTTTTGTCCTCAAGTCTGTAACAGGGATCTGTGGAAGATTTCTAAGGACAGTAATATGAGTTTTTCCATTTTCCACCTGTGTAGCCTTGGACTCTGGGTTTCAATTTTGTCAACTGTAAAATGAAGAGATAGGACTAGATAACTTTTAATATCCCTTTCAGCTCTAAATCTATGATTCTATGATCCGATAATCAGATTTATACTTTTAGGAATATAATTTGGTAGTTATGTGGAGGACTGATTGGAGAGGCAAGAGACTGGTGGCAGAGAAACCAATGAGGGTGCTATTAGAATAGCTCAGAAGGGAAGGCCCTCAGCATTTTTCCTCTAAATGAACGATCCAACAACATATTCTGCTCCCAGAGAATTATTAGTGAGTCTGGAAAGTCAAGAGTAATAGAGAAAAGAGCAATATAACCACAGAGAGAAACTGTACTATTTTCATCTGTTCTTAGTAAACCCATCGAGGGCTTTTATCCTTTATAGCATCCTAATGTCCAAGGTATGAATCAGAAAACTGCATAAAGAGATGTTTTCAAGGATGCTTTCCTTTTTTCCTCCTCATGAAACCATTTTACTTTGAGTTTATAAGAGCATAAGAACCTATCACTTACTTAAAAACTGGCAGGAGAAGAACTGATTTTTGAGTGAAGGCTGCTCTCTGTGCAGCTGACCCTTCCTCCAAATGAAGAAGGCTGAAGTCAGATTAAAATGCATTATTCATAGAGTTATCCCTAATGGGCATATTCTCCAAATGCCTGACACAACTGCCTCACAGCCCAAATGACTTTACCTTTTGATTTCTCTATATTAGTTCATGGTTCAGTGACAAATGCAAATTCAGCCAAGAAAAGAAGAAATGCATGTCCCCGTATAAACTGCCTGCATGAATACATCAAGAAATATCCTTTTTCTTACCATTTTCTTTCCTGAAGCTAATTTGTTTTTGTTATTTATTCATCTAGCTTTGATGCTAATAATCATTGTTTTCAGGGTTCTCTTAACCGCTGAGTAATTTGGACTGTCAGTGTTTCATTGCTGTCTACTGACAAGGGCTTATTAGAGCTGACTAATGGACCTCATAGCCAACCAACAACAGCACAGGGCCCTAAAGGGCCAGCACTATCCACACCTGCCCTCTTCAAGGCACAGAAGCCTTCACAGGTCCGAAGGACAGCAGCTTCAGAGCCTGTCTTTTCTTTAAGGGACACCCAAGTTGGTCTGATGTAGAATTACCAGAATTCTGAAGCTATCAGGTGCAAGGGGTATACACAATTGCCAACCTGCTGACTCCTATATCCTCTTGGGTTATTCTAAAAAAATGAAAGGTTCTTCTTTTCCCTTTGCTGGTCATACGCTTCTCCTGTTTAACTTTCAGGATATTTTGATATTAAAAAGTTATTTTTACTCAAAGGTAACACTGGTTATGATCCTAGTGGGTGAAAGGAGAGACAGAATAGAATAAACAGGGGTGGGGGGAATAGGATAAAGGGAAATACAGTTAGCAATAGTAACTGTGAAAAAAATTTTCAACTAAGTTTCTCAGATAAAGACCTCATTTCTCAAACATATAGAGAACTGAGACAAATTTATAAAAATAAGAGCCATTCCCCAGCTTATAAATGATCAAAAGATATAATCTATTTTCAGATGAAGTAATCAAAGCTATCCATAGCCACATGAAAAAATATTCTAACTCACTATTGATTGGAGAAATGCAAATTAAAACAATTCTGAGGTACTACCTCATACCTATTAGATTGGCTAATAGGACAGAAAAGGTAAATGACAAATGTTGGAGGGTATTTGGGAAAAATGAAACATTAATGCACTGTTGGTGGAGTTATGAACTGATTCAATCATTCTGTAGAGCAACTTAGAACTATGCCTAAAGGACTACAAAATCAGGCATAACCTTTGACCTAGCAATACCACTTCTAGGTATATATGCCAAAAGAGATAAAAAACAAAAAGGAAAAGGACCTATATGTACAAAAATATTTATAGCAGCTCTTTCCTGGTGGCAAAGAATTAGAAATAGAGGGGATGCCCATCAATTGGGGGATGGCTGAACAAGTTGTGGTATCTGATTAAGATGGAATACTATTGTACTATAAGAAATGATCATCAGGATGCTCTCAGAAAAACCTGGAAAGACTCGCATGGGCTGATGCAAAGTGAAATGTATTGTATACAGAATAACAGCAACATTGTAAGATGATCAGCTATGAATGGCTTAGCTATTCTCAGTATGGCAATCCAGGACAACTTTGAAGGACTTATGATGAAAAATGCTATCCATCCCCAGAGAAAGAACCGATGGTTTCTGAATATAGATTGAAATGTACTTTTTTTTAACTTAAAAAAGAATATCAGTACTCTTAAAAAGAGAATATTCACAATAATGTTTTGCATTTATATAGCACTTTAGAATTATGGCATAAGGAGAAGAGTATTGGGTTTAGAGTGAGAAGACCTATATTTCAATCTTGATTCTTCCATTAACAAGACATAACCTTGGGCAAGTCACTTCCCCTCTGGGACTTGTTTTCCTTGCACTTAAAATGAAGGGTCAGACTCAATGTCTTCCCAGGTCCCTCCCAGGTCTACATTCCTATGATTTTAGAATAAGCACTTCCACTGGTGCTCATGACAACCCTATAAGTGTGCACTGTGAGTTTATATAAATATCATTATTTCTATTTTACAAAAGAGGAATCTGAGCTTCAGAGAAGCCAGCCCAGGGGCACACAATTGGAAGTGATAGAGACAGGACTAGATTCCCATACTCCTGAATCCATATCTAGGTATGCTACCACCACACAATTTTGGCAACTTACGACAGAAAAGGCCAATGATTATCTACCCAAGACTAGTTAAAGATTATTTTTCCACTAGGCACTATACCCAGTTCTGACAACACATGTAGATGTTTGGGGAATTTTGCCTCTTTCCCCGGGTCATCTAACCCTCTCCTCTATAGATTAGAAAACTGAGGCCCAAGGAGGTAAAAAGTTGCACAATAAGTTATTAGAAAAGAGATGACTAGAATTTGGGTCTCCTGACTCACAAGCCAATGCTCTTTCCTCTGCACCAAATGTATTGCCTCTTAGGTAAAAGGAACAACCTTTTGTTATTAAACTCCAGCCTTTGAGAAAAATCTAAGTGCTCCAACTTCTGAAATATTTTAGGGGTTAGGGAACAAGTGACAGGGCACCTGGCAACCTTGCCATCACATTGTCCTCGTGGTCACATACTCTTTGTTATCTCATAAGCAGAGATCAGCTTATTACAGCAAAGGGAACATGTTGGAGAATGGTGGGAATAAAGATAATAAGTGTTACAAGTTATTAGGGAATAAAGATAATGGAGGGCCTTGAATGCCAAGCTGATAAGGTTAGATTTTTCATGGTAAAAATCAAAGAGGGCTAAAAAACCATGCCATATGATGATCCTTTGAAGGAACTAGGGATATTTGACTTGGAATGGATTTGGGAACTCGATTATTATCTTTAAATATCTTCAGGGCTGTTACATGGGAGAGAAATTAGACATAATTCTACTTGCCTCCAGAGGGAAGAGCTAGGAACAAGGTGGGGAGGTGGAGGACAGTTATAGGGAGGTGGAGTCCAGTTCAATATAAGAAATAACTACCCAACAAGGAGAATTATCCATAGGTGGAATGATCTGTCTTGGGAGGTAGTGAGTTCCCTATTATTGAAGGACTTGAAGCAGAAGCTGGATAACATCTTATAAAGGATGTTGTAGACAGGATTTATACTTTGGTTGGGGATTAGACCAGATGACCTCTAAATTCTCTTATGAACCTGTGTTTCCATAAAATAATCAATCTTAAGGAAAATTATTCTTATAGCAGCTCACAAGATAGATTGGAAAGGAGAGAGATTGGAATTTGAAAGAAAGATCAGTTAGGAGACTGCTTTAGTAATCAAGGCATCAAGCCCTGGACCAGCTAGTGCTGGTGGCAGTGAGACTAGAGAGGCAGGAATAAATCTGCTAGATGACTTCTACACTCCTTTCCAACCCTAAAATCCTATGAAACATTTGAGAATGAGGAAGAAAAATCAATCTGGCCAAACATTTGGCACAATAGGAATGTCCTGGTTACTAAGCCAAGTGGAAGAATGAACATCAGTGCAGAGTAATAGTCAGAGCATAGTCTTCATAAGACATTTTATTTGCTATCACTGAGAAGACAGGGACTATGGGATTTAACCCTACAGTCCTCTATCTTCCTTCATTCTTACAAACATGCATGGGCACCATGAAAAGGATTAGAAGTGAGTTAGTACTCTACCTGGACCAGCAGTAGTAGGTTTGTATCTGGCAAAGGAGACTTTAACTTCAGAGCTTGGAGTAGCTCTAAGACAACACTACGAGACAAGTAGAATTTATCCCGTTCCTAAACAAAAACAAAATAAGGGAGAACAAGGTTTCTAAAAATTCACTTAGCATAGACCAATGTAATGTCATTGAGTGCTTCAGCAAGATGCATAGAAATGAAAAACGTGACTACAGGATGTATTAAGAATTGCTTATTGAGTTGAATGGAAAAATGAAATCGAAAAAGAAAATACCCCCAAAAAAGTTAATTTCAATTTGCCTTTTAAGCACTAAGAACATGTAATTTGATTAACCAGGGAAAAGCAGAAGATCTACCTCCTAAATATTGTTAAGTATAGGAAGCCTTCCCCATTTATAGAGGGAGAGTTTCTACAGATCCTTGAGAAGAAATGAAAAATCCAATTATTCTTGCCTTCATAGAATGAGCCTAGTATAACTCTCTCATTTTAGAAATGACAGTACTAAGGAGGTGGAGAGATGACAGCCACAGGCCCTCTGACTCCAATTCTGTGCTTCTCCACTACACCAACGCCTTGTTTAGACAGCTGGTCATGCTTCTTTCCAAATCTTTTCCTTCAATTCTTTGGTTCAATTCAACAAACATTTGCTACAGTAGCTCCTCCTATATGTAAGGCTCTATGACTATATTCAAGATATAAAACCACAAATATTATAGTCCCTGACTAATTCTCTGTGGAGGATCTGGGGGGGGGGGGGGGGAAAAGAGGGAAATTAAGGTTAAAAAAAAAAAAAATAAAGTATGTACAAAGTAATTTCAAAAGGGAGGGGGAACTAAAAACTAGGGGGACTGAGGAAGAGTAGCAGGAAAGGTTGTGCTTTGAAAGAAATCATAGATTCTGCAAGTGGAGATCAAAAGGAAATGACTTACAAACATGGGGATGGAGGAGTGGGTGGATACTGCCAATGCAAATGCACAGAAGTAGGAGATAGAATATTATATATGAAAAACAGCTATTAGGCTAACTTGCCTGGAATGGAGAGCATATGAAGAGGGGTAGTATGGAAAGGTAGGTGGGAGCAATTTAAATTCTTTAAATAATGAGACTTTGTATTTTACACTAGAGACACTAAGAAGACAACAAAGGTTTTTTAATAAGGCAGTGATATGGCCATATCTGTATTTTGGAATGTTGGTTTGGCAGCTTGCTATGCGAACTGGAGAGAAAAAAAGGGACTGAAAGATGTATTAGAAGGTTACTGCAATAGCCCAAGCAAGAAATGATGAGGGCCTGAGCTAGGGTGGTTGTGGTTTGAGCAGAGAGAAAGGGGGGTGGGGGGAGGAAGGAAGGAAGGAAGGAAGGAAGGAAGGAAGGAAGGAAGGAAGGAAGGAAGGAAGGAAGGAAGAAGGAAGAAAAGAGGGAGGGTGGAAATTTCAAAGAAGGATTAAAAAGAAGACCAAGCCTGGTGTGTAAGATTGTATTACTACAGGCGGTGTAAGAAATAAATTACAGAAATAAATCATGAGGCAGAGAGAATACCATGATGCAATGGAAAGAGAACTGGACCTGGTACTGCCTTTGTGGACTTGGGCAAGTCACTTCTCCTGTCTGGACCTCAGTTCCCTAATCTGTAAAATGGGGTTTTATATAAAATTATTTCTATGATCCCTTCTAATTCTAAATCTCATGGTCCTGTGATATGAATACACTCACAAAGAAAAGGCCATAATATGAAGAGAAGGAAAAAAGGGCAGGGCAGAGATAGAGAAGAAATATAGATAGATTAAACAACAGAAACCCTTGGCAAGAAGTTAGCATTTGTTGAGGTAAACAGAGACATCCTTATGAAGGAGCATTTTGCATGGACTATAGATGAGGGCAAAAACAGAGACCCTACTGAGAAAAAAAAAAACTTGCAAAATTTTTGAGATAGGAAGGGCAAACTTCATATGTTCAAACTTCATATTTTCACAAGCATAAAATATCTTCTTTCTATCCTGCCTTCTGTTTTTTCCAATAGAACAGTTTTAAACCACCTCACAACACTTCTGCATCTATTTTCCATGCAAGTAGTAGTTTTCCATTTTCTAAAGGGGAAGCAAACAACTCTTTCAGCTCAACATAATGCAATTGAGAGACCATTAAGAAAAGACGACAAAAGATGAGATTATAATCTCAGAGTCCAAGAGCCAGAGTTGGGAAGATGAAATCAATGACAAGAATTAAGGAGTTACATCTTTTTTACAAATGACAAGCCAATATTTTTCTGTTTTAGGATGAAAGAATGATATGTGGAGTAGATGTACAAATTATTCACGGGATCATAAGGACTTGATGGGACCTGAAGAAAGCATCTAGTCTATACTTATGGTATTATGGAAAGTAGAATCGTTAAGACCTAACTTTGAATGTCCACTCTGATACTTGTGAGCTGTGTGACCTTGGGCAAGTCACTTGAGGCTCTACAAAATGGAAAAGGTAGAATCATAGAATCTCAGCATTGAAATTGGAATGACAGATTTCAGGTGCTTGAATATTGCTATCACATCCCTTCCTCCATTTCCGACATTCTTCTTTTCTTCATATGCCATGGTTAAAATCTTCTCATCTTCCTGGTCACTCTAGAATACATTATAGTTTTTCCATATCCCCCCTACAATTTGGAGCCTAAAAACAAACATAATAAGTCTGACCAGGGAAGAATACAATAGGCATACAATTACTTAATCTGGATACTATGATTGTGTTTGTGCCGCCTCAAAGAACATTCATTTTTTCAGTTGCCATGTCAGAGCTGGTTCCTCTTGAGCCTGTAGGTCCTTCTCACACAAACTGCTTTCTATTGATTCTCTTTTACTGTAATTGGGCCGTTGAGTTTTTAATCTAAATATAGGCCTTTCTACATATCACTATTACATTTTTTTCTTTTCTGGATTCAGGTCATAGGATCATAGAACTTAGAACTAGGAGGAATTTAGAGATCACCAGATTCTTGACATGAAGCAGCATGAGATAATGGAAAAAGCACAGGACTTAGTATAAGAAGAGACTTGGGCTCAAATCCTGCACTCTAACACCAACTACCTGTGTGACCATGGCAAGGATTCTTAACTTCTCTGAGTCTCAGTTTCTTCATCTGCAAAATGGAGACAATACCCATATGACCTTCCTCATTGGTTTGTTGTGGGTATCAAATACAATAATGTCTATAATGTACTTTGTAAACCACAAAGTTCTATGAAAAATGTCAGCAATTGTCATTTGGACCAACATTTTAGTATGTCAAAATCCATTTGGATCCCAATTCTGTTATTCAACCTATGTATTAGCTATATTTCCCAACTTTGGACTATTTACAAATGTGATAAGCATGTATTCACGTTTAAATTATTAAGTTAATCATTCCAGTTAAGTTACTAATAAAATAAACAATTCTCATTAAATTAATAAAATAAAAATGTAATCCAATTAAGTTACTTATAAAAAATTACATAGCACAGGGCCAAGGACAGAGCACTGTGGAACTATATTAGGGACTTTCCTCCAGGATGACATTGTTCCTTTAAAACCCCACCCCTCCCGCCCTGACCTCACACTTGGACTATTGCAATAGCCTACTGGTTGGTCTCCCTGACAAAAGTCTCTCCCCACTCCAGTCCATCCTCCACTCAGCTATCAGTGATCTTCTTTGAGTGCAAATTTGACCATGTCATCCTCCCCTCCCCACTCAATAAACTCTACTGGCTCCCTATCACCCCCAGGATCAAACATAAATCCCTTATTTGACAATCAAATCCCTTTATAATGTACTTGCCCACTGTTCCAGTTTTCTTACATTTAATATCTTACACTGCCTACCCCACACACCCACACATACTCTACAATCCAGTGACAATGGACTCTGCTATTCCTTAAACAAGATACTTTTCCCAATTCTGGGCATTTTCATTGGCTGTTTTCCATATCTGGAATGCTATCAGTCTTCATCACCTCCTGGCTTCTCTGATTTCCTTCAAATTTCAGCTAAAATCCCACCTTTCCTAGTCCTCCTTAATCTTAGTTCCTTTCCTTGCAGACTATCCTCCTCTTTATTCTCTACGTATTTCATTTGTACATAGTTATGCATGTTGTCTCTCTCATTAGACTATGAACTCCTTGACAGCAGGGATTCTCTTTTACCTTCCTTTGTATCTCCAGTGCTTAGCACAGTATCTGGAGCACAGTAGGCATTTAATAAATGTTTACTGACTGAATGATGACACTCTTATGGTCTAGTTGTTCAACCATTTCTGAATTCACTTAATTCTACTAGCATCAAAAGATATATAAGACTGTCAAATATGTTGGTGAAATCTTCTCTCACAGGGCTGTTGACAGAGCAAAACAAGATAAGAGATGTAAAAGAATTTTGCAATTTGGAGTCAGATAGTATTATTATTGTTAGTATCATGATGATGATGATAATGATGATGATGATGGTGATGATGATGAGGTAGCTGTAGTAGTATAGTGGGTTCCAATCTCATCTGTAAAGTGGAGATAAAAATACCTATAGTACCTACCTCACAGGGTTATGATGAGGCTTAAATGAGATCATGTAGGAAAAGCCTTGGCAAACCATAAAAGTACATATAAATAACTATTATATCTAATTTAGTTCTGTTACTTATGAGTCATAAAATCTTGGATAAGACCTGCTACCTTCCTGAGCCTTAGTTTCCTCTTCTGTAAAGTAAGAACAATAATACCGAACCACCTAACTTACAGAGTCATTGTAAGGATCAAACAAACAATATAAATTGCCATATGAATATAAGTTACCATCATCATCATCATCACTTTGCATTCTATTTTGCATTCTTTTCCAAACTGTTCATAACACTTTCTCCTTTCCTATTCCTTCATCTATTAATACATATAAAGAGGATAGGGATTGTGTCATATTTTTGTCTTTGTATCACTAACACCCATACACTGCCTGGTATATAGTAGGATTTTAATAAACCCTTGTTAGTTGATCAATACAACTCTTTTTTAAGGGTTGTGTTTGGTTTGCAAAAGGCCTTTCCTGATTCCCCCATTATTTCTGCTTTCCTTATCCCCTCTAGATTACTTTGTATTTACTATGTATATATTTTATTCTTATTTGTCTATATACAAGTTATAATCTTAAGGTCCATGAGGCCAGGAATTGTTTCTTTTTTTCTTTCTTTTTTATTGCCAGTGCCTTGCACATAGTAAGTATTCAGTATTTTTTTAAACTGGTTTGACTGTATTCAAGACACAGACTAAGTATAATGTGTGTAAAAGCTTCATTTTAATGGTATATATTGGGCCAAAGGCCAAAAGACTTACTAATTTCTTTACATTTAAGGGAGGAAAAGTTTTTCAACACAGTCTGGCACACCCACTATATTCTTCCTTACCTTAGTAAAAGCTCTGTAACACAAGCCACACAATTCCACCAGGTAGGCCAATGTGAACACAGCATTTTGAATGACAAAGCTGAGTAGTTTTGAAAATGGTTCCAGCAGACTCTGCAATGGGATATGGGTTGAAGAAAATCAATTGCTGATTCCTTCAGCATAAATAAATAGAACTAAAATCTTATAACGCTGTAATAAATAATTTTTTGCTTAGAAGGTAGCCGAGGAGGCTACCTTTGTAGCCAAAAAGTTGTTCAAGAAAAAGCCTCTATGTATATAAGGCATACTAGAAACAAAGCATCAGACATCAGAAATGCAGCTTCACCCAGTGGCTCAAAGTACAACAATCTATCATTGTTATTGCTTGGAAGAAATCCAATTCTTTCCTATGACATCATTTCTAAACCCACCCTCAGTAGTGACAGGCAGCATGGCTCAGTGGGATCAGAGAACTGAATTGACTAGAATGAAGGAATGAAAAGAAACATCTGCCATCTTGTGTTGAACTGTGTTTCTTCTAAAACATCTTAGCATATAAATACCAAATATTAGCAGTTTGTTATAAATATATACATATACATATAAAAATATGTGTGTATATATACACACATATGTCCAACCTATGTGCCTAATATTATGTGCAAGGCATTGTGCTAGGCACTGAGGACATAAAACCAAAAACAAAACAGTTCTTGCCCTCAAGGAGCTTACATTCTTGGGGATGCAAGGGAATGGAGCACCTAAGATGTAACCAGATACATAACTACAAAGTATATACAAATATATAGAAAATAATATAAAGTCATTTCAAGAGGGAGAGTACTAACATTTATTAAACACTTAATCTTTAATCAAGTACTATGGTTGGTGATAGCGAAACAAGGATGAAAAATGACAGCTCTTTACTTAAGCCAAATCTGAGGGCATAAGGCATATAAGCATATAAGTATGATATAAGGTAGAATGAAGTAAATGCAAAGGAATGGTCTACACAAAGCCCAATAAGAAGGAAATGTGAGAAAGGAGAGATTATTTTCAGCTATGGGGCTTAGGGAAAGTGCATGCCTGAGGCAGACCACAAAGGAAGACAAAGATTTCAAAAGATAGAAATATAGAATTAATGTAGGACAGAAGGTAACCTCTTGAGAATTCATGAAGGCAGGACAGGGCAATAACTCAATACAACAAACATTTATTTATTGTCTACCATGTGCAAGACACTATACTAGGACCTAAACCAAAACAAAATAGCCCCTCCCTTCAAGGAGTTTATATTCTATAGGTATATAGATAAGTAGATAAGAGGTAATATGAGGAGTGGGAAAAAAAGCATTAACAACTATGGACATCTAGGAATGCTTACAGAGGGAGAAACTATAGAAAAAAAGAAAAAAGGGAACTGGAAAGAACAAAAACTTAGAGAATACCTATATTTAGGGGACACAGAGGGAATTTATCTGATGAGGGAGAAAGAATAATGAGAGGTAAAAGGAGAGCTAAAAAAAAGTTAACAGAAAAAAAAGTTACAGAAGTTACAGAAGACAAATAGGGAAGAATTTCAAGAAATTTAGGGTTATTCTGGAAAGCAATATGGAACTATACCCAAAAAGTTACTAAACTGTACACACATTTTGAAGAACTGATACCACTATCAGGTATCTACCCCAAAGAGATAAAAGAAAGAAAAGAGAAGCAGAATTGGTCTGAGTGAATACAAGGGTTGGGTCAATGACTGGAATCAGGTGAGCAATTTCAAATGCTGCAAAGGGGTTGAATTGTAAATAAGGTTAAGGGCTAAGGAATCATTGGATTTAGTGATAAATCACTGATAACCTTTAAGAATTGTTCCTTTTGATAAGTTGAAGCACAAACCTTGGCTTGGGAACTAGATGTGACTAAGGTATCTGTTAGGAAAAGTAAAAAGATCAAGGAAAAATAAGTAGTCCACTTTGGATGGAGTAGAGTACATGAAAGAGAAGAGTGAAATAAGACTGAAAAAGTAGGTTGAAGCCAGATTTTAAAGAGTGTAGCATAGTAAATAAAGAGCTGGCCTTGGAACAGGAAGACCTAGATTCAAGACCTACCTCTGACACATAACAGCTAGCATTTATAAAGTGCCTACTATGTGTCAGGCACTGTGCTAAGCACTTTACAAATATTATCTCCTTTGATCCTCACAAGCACCCTGGGTTGTTGTTGTTGAGTTATTTCAGTTGTGTCTGACTCTTTGTAACCCCATTTAGGATTTTCTTGGCAAAGATACTAGCATGGTTTGTCATTTCCTTCTCTAGCTTATTTTACAGATGAGGAAACTAAGGCAAACAGAGGTTAAGTGACTTACCCAGGGTCACACAACTAATAAGTGTCTGAAGCCAGATTGGAACTCAGATCTTTCTAACTTCAGGCCTAGCACTCTATCCATTATGCCATATAGCTGCCTAATATACTATATAACATACTAATACACATATGGATATCTGACCCTGAGCAAGTGTATTTCCCTCTTAATGCTCTACGAAACTTTCTAAGATGATAAGTTAAGAGATGATGCTAACTTCAATTGGCAGAGGGGGTTTCCTCATCTAGGAGTTCCCTGCACCAAGGAAATCACAGGTCCAGTCCTTATCCCTAACCTTAAATACCAGACTACAGAGCTTGTATATTATTCTATTTGGCAATGGGGAAATCACTGAAGGTCTTTGAACAGGGGAGTGACATGGTCAGACCTGTGTACTAGCAACATTGCTTTTACAGATGTGTGAAATAAGAATTGGAGAAGGGAGAAAGCGAAAGCAGGAAAATTTATTTAGAAGGCCGTTGTATAGTTCAGGCCAGGGATGATAAAGTCCTGAACTAGGGCATGCGTTAAAGGTGGGAGACACTGCCATTGTAGACAACAAGATTTGGCAACTATCTGGATATGAAAAATGAGGAAGAGAAAAGAATCACATATGACTCTGAGGCTTTGACCTTAGGTGACTAGGAAGGTGTTGATACTACCAAGCAGAACTATAGAAGCTGGGAGACATATTGGTTTGCAAAGAATCCTCCCTACCCTTTCTCCATCAAGAAGTTCCCAAAGTGGGTGATACTGCCCTGTGGCAATGCTGAAACCATCCAAGGGGGCAGTAGTAGCCTCAGGTGTAATTGGGGGGGAACGTTGAATAAAAATAAGAGGGCAAGGGAAGCATAAGGAAAGAAAACATAAGAAATTTTGAAAAATCATTCATATGTGTTTCATCCATTATATAACAGAGTTAAAATCGTAGTGGTTACATTATTTTCCAAATAAACACACAAAATGCAAGTTATAACCAATCAGTGATCAAATCCACCAACAGGTCTTAACAAGCCAGTGTTGGCAGAAGAGCATGTGGCGCAGGAAGTCCAGTATGCAGCAGCAGGAATATGTGTGTGTAATGACTTGTTTACAATACGATACTATATGGTTACATGACCCAATACTGCATCATCAAAATTCCAATGCAGGAAAAAACCACAAATTTATAATAAATTATTAAATTTAAGATGTGTCATTTTAAAAAATTATACATTTTTTGAAATGATGCAAATTTCAAAATAAAAACTGTTAAAGGGTCAAAGATTTCCAGGGAGGGGAGTGCTGAGTATTTTTTTAAAGGGGGCAGTAGGCCAAATAAGTTTGGGAACCTCTGATCTAAATCCTATTCATTCATTAAGGCTGAGTTCCATTAAGCCTTCTCTGACCATTTCAGCACCTATAGAATTAATGATACCTACATACCCACTCAGTTGGCATTTATCAACTCCTGATAAGCATAAGGTGGAGGCTATATGGTATAAAGGAAATAATGTGAGACCTGGAGTCAGAAAACTTAGGCTCTAGTCCTGGTTCTTTCACTTACTAGCTAGGTTACTTGGAGAAGTCACACAACCTCTTTGAGCCTCAGTTTCTCTTTCTGTAAAATGAGGATAATATATCATCTATCTCAAAAATTTGTTGTAGGGGTCAAATACACTAATTACGTAAAGGAAACCATACTTTAAAAACTGTACTTTACAGTAATATACATAAATATTAGCTCTTCCTTGTTTCTTAATATCTGGAGTTTAAGTGTCATCTCCCCAGACAGATGGGAAACTTCTTGTAGAAAGGGAATAAATACTTCTTTGTATTCCTATATCACGTCACATGGTAGCTTGGACATGGTAAGTACTGGATAAATATTTATTGATCAAAGGATATACATTCAATGTTATCACTTGCTCTGAGCAAGTTAAAGAGTATCTTTTTATAAGACTGCTCAAAAACTTTAGATTCCAGAGCTGCTTTACTCTACATTTGTATTGATCTTGAAGTACATCTGAAGGTGGCCCAGCTTATAGACCCATCCTTACAACAAGCATACAAAATCTACAGAATCAATGAACTTCAGAGAAAATGGGACCTCAGAGATCATATAGTCTAAGTGGACTTAAACAAGGATCCTCTCTACAGTAGTCAGCCTCCTTCACTAATGAGGAGCCCACTACCTCCCAAGGTAGCTTGTTCTACTCTTGGATAACTCTAATTTTGGGGAAAGTTTTTTTTTCTTTTATTAAGCCAGAATTAGCCTCTCTTCAATTTCCATGAACTGTTCTGCCACCTTGGGCAACCACAACAAGTTCCCTCTTCCACATGACAAATCTTCAAATACTTAAAGATTGTTATTATGTTCCTATAAGCAAAGTAACATGGTGGCATGGAAAGGTATAAAACTCGAGTCCCTGCATGCTGCCCTATATATGAACCAGATTAAAATGTAACTGGGAAATATTTAACAAGATGAATGAAAATACAATATAACACAGATAATGTTAATTTGTGGTATTCTAAGTCAATGTGTGGCCCACAGGGATCCATCTCTATTTGAGTTTGACACCAGGGGTATAGCGGAAAGAGCACTGGATTTAGAGTCAAAGGACCTGAGTTCAAGATTCTATATCCTGCATGACCTTGGGAAAGTCACATCTCTCTCAATTTGGCAAAATGAGGAGGTTGGACTGGGTGGCCTCTAAGAACAGGTCTTAATCCTATGAAACTTCTGAAACAAGCAACATGCTGCCTATCCCTCCCAGCTCTATGTCTTCCTCAAATCCAAAATAGCCACAGGAGATCGAAATAACACTGCAGATAGATCTAAGTAGTAACTGAAACACAACAAACCATTTCACATGCCTATACTGTGACATGTCACACACCATCATGACACTATACTCTAGGCTGGGAAGAAACAAGAGGGTGTAAAAGAGACATTTAATAAACAATTACTACTGATCTACAATGGTCCCATATCTGGGTTTTTTTAACATAAAAATAATTTTTAGGTAAAGTTACATCATACATCTAAGAAGAAAGAACACTGAATTTTCTGTCAGAAAAACAGACTTTGAGTATTGTACACCAGCCACGTGATCTTGACTTAATTACTTGAAGAGACTGTCTCTTTATCTGTGAAATTGGGATAATAATGCTAACACCGTCTACCCCCACAGGGTGGTTCTGAGGACCAGGTGAGACAACGGAAGCAAAAGAATTTTGTAAACTGTGAAGCATGATATAAATGTAAACAATCGTTATTTTTATGATTATTATTATTAATCAGGAAGAACATACCCTTGTAGCACTGGTGGTAGGTATCTTCAGGAGGCAGATCATTATTCTCAAACTGGAATCTAAAGAACACTGATCAAAAACGAAAGAAGAGCTGAATCAGTACCTTTTTTGGTCTGTTTTGTTTTAGTACTTCCAATGAGCATTCATTTTTTTAAAATTTAAAGTTTTATTGATATCATTTGCTTTTTATACCACAGTTATTTCCCAATAATGCTTCCCCCATAAAATCCTCCTTTGAAATAATGAAAAAATTGAGCTAAAGGAACTGACATTGTTATAATGTATACAAAATTCCATACCCACATTCTCCCACCTCTTTACTAGGCAAAGGGAAATACGTTTTATCATTTATTCTCTAGGACTAAAATTGGTCCTTTTAAGCATTAATTTTAGCTTAAGAGGAATATGACCTATAGCTCTTCCATTACTGCCTAGTGAGCATCTATTTAAATTAAATTAAATTCTGATTCAAAAAAAAATTATTATCACAGCTCTTGACCAGTTTGTAACTTTTAAGAAATTATAGTTTATGCAATGGATTGGTCATTTAGCTTTGATATACTTCAAATCAACAAATAAATTTACATGCTACATGCATATTTCATAGTCTCATAGATATAAAATGTGCCATTTTGAAGAAAAATGCTAATCTGATCAGAGGAAGCTTTCTCCCATATTTAGAGAACCACTGTGGTCTGAGGCTTATGTAAACAGAATAAACAATACTCAGATTCAAAGAATAGTTCAGTTGCAGTTGCTCCCTTTCATAGTCATCAAAGCTAAGCTAAATGGAAGACAGAATGATTTCTATAAGGACAAATCATGCCTCACTAATTAATCTACTAGAGTCTTTGAGGAGACAAACAAACATGTAGACATGGGCTAGCCAGCATAGGCATTCCAAAAGATTTGAAACCTTTAAAAAAAAAAAAAAAACAAACAAACACTGAGTCAGCAAGGGATTGGATAAATAGTGAGGTATTTTGTGAAGAATGGAGAACTATCTTATTTGGCATTGGTAAAAAACAGTTTTTTACCTCTATCTGTAAATAACACTTTATTGTCTTCCAGCTACCAGTGCTAGCCTGGTAGATAAGGCATGAGAAGATTTTTATGAAGCATTTCTTTGTGTGGAAACAAGGGATAATTTATTGTCAGCAACAACAGTGAGCTGGAGAGTCTCAGTACACTGCTTCCTACCTTGTTGTGTTTCTACTAAAGTTCTGAAAACTGACACAGGTCAGAAGTATCTTCTGTTGGGTTTAACTGTTTTGCTTCTTCTCTTCCAATCCAGAGTTAACTTGACCTTTACTTTGCTGTACATCGTTTTCTTTTTTTTTAAATTTAAAAAAAAATTTTTTTTTTTAAACATGTATTTTTAAAACTTTGGGTTACAAATTTTCTCCCTTTCTCTCTCCTCACCTGCCTTCACTGAAAAGGCAAGCAACTTGATACAGGTTATAGATGTGTAGTCATGCAAAACACTTCCATAGTAGTCATGTTGTGAAAAACTAAGTATATTTCCCTTCATCCTATCCTACCCTCATTTATTCTCTTCTCTCTTTTGACCCTGTCCCTCCTCAGAAGTGTTTGCTTCTGATTATCCCCTCCCCCAATCTGCCCTCCCCTCTATCATCCCCCTGCTCTCTTGTCCCCTTCCCCCCTTATTTTCCTGTAGGGTAAGATAGATTTCCACACCCAATTGTGTATATTATTCCCTCCTTAAGCCAAATCCTATGAGAATAAGATTCACTCATTCCCTCTCACTTTCCCCCATTTCCCCTCCACTGTAAAAGCCTTTTCTTGTCTGTTTCATGTGAGATAATTTACCCCATTCTACCTCTCCCTTTCTCCTTCTCCCAGTATAATCCTCTCTCACCCCTTAATTTTATTTTCCAGGTATCACCCCTTCATCTTCAACTCACCCTGTGCCCTCTATCCATCTATCTATCTATCTATCTATCTACACATAGATATAATTTTTTCCCTCCCACTACCCTAATACTGACAAAGGACTCATGAGTTACAAATATCACCTTTCCATGTAGGAATGTAAACAGTTCAACCCTAACATGTGTCTTATGATTTCTCTTTCCTGTTTACCTCTTCGTGTTTCACTTGAGTCTTGTACTTGAAAGTCAAATTTTCTATTCAGCTCTGGTCTTTTCATCAAGAATGCTTGGAAGTCCCCTATTTCACTGAATGACCATTTTTTACCCTGCAGGATTACACTCAGTTTTGCTGGGTAGGTGATTCTTGGTTGTAATCCTATCTCCTTTGCCCTCCAGAATATTATATTCCATGCCCTCCAGTCCCTTAATGTAGAAGCTGCTAAATCTTGTGTTATCCTGATTGTGTTTCCACAGTACTTGAATTGTTTCTTTCTGGCTGCTTGCAATATTTTCTCCTTGACCTGGGAATTCTGGAATTTGACTACAGTATTCCTAGGAGTTTTCCTTTGGGGGATCTCTTTCAGGAGGTGATCGGTGGATTCTTTCAATTTCTGTTTTGCCCTCTGGTTCTAAAATATCAGGGCAGTTTTCCTTGATAATTTCTTGAAAGATGATGTCTAGGCTCTTTTTTTTTTTGATCATGGCTTTCAGATAGTCAATAATTTTTAAATTCTCTCTCCTTGATCTACTTTCCAGGTCAGTTGTTTTTCCAATGAGATATTTCACATTTTCTTCTATTTTTTCATTCTTTTGGATTTGTTTTACAGTGCCTTGATTTCTCATAAAGTCACTAGCTTCCAATTACTCCATTCTAATTTTTAAGGAAGTATTTTCTTCAGTAAGCTTTTGGACTTCCTTTTCCATTTGGCCAACTTTGCTTTTTAGGGCATTCCTCTCCTCATTGGGTTTTTGGACCTCTTTTGCCATTTGGGTTAGGCTATTTTTTAAGGTGTTATTTTCTTCAGTATTTTTTGGGTCTCCTTTAGCAAGCTGTTGACTAGTTTTTCATGATTTTCTTGCATCATTCTCAGTTTTTCCTCTACTTCTCTTACTTGCTTATCAAAATCCTTTTGGAGCTCTTCTATGGCCTGGGACCAATTCATATTTTTCTTGGAGGCTTTGGATGTAGGAGCTTTGACTTTGTTGTCTTCTTCTGAATGTATGTTTTGATCTTCTTTGTCACCAAAGAAAGATTCTATGGTCTGACTTTTTTTGCGCTGTTTGCTCATGATCCCAGCCAATTACTTGAGTTTTAAACTCTTTGTTAAGGTAGGGGTCTGCTTCCAGTGTGGAGAATGTACTGTCCCAAGCTTCAGGGGTTTTGTGCAGCTGCTTTCAGAAATACTTCTAGGGACCTATAAATTTTCAGTTCTTCCAAGATAGTATGATCAAAGGCGAGGTGTTTACTCCTTTCCTGGCCTGTACTCTGATATGTGAGTGACCACAAGCACTCTTTTCTGTCTTGGAACTGTGAGGAGGATTTCCTCTCTACCATCACTACAAGCTCCACTGTACCAGTGCTCCTCCTCACCCCAGGACCACCACCCAGAACTGTGACCCAAATTCAAACATGGGCAGAGCAAGAGAATCCTGCACCAGCAGAGAGATCCCTGCAATCCCCCTCTGATCAGCCCCTTGATTTGCCCTCAGTCTGTGGACCAGAAGCTCATGAGGCAGCCACTGCCCCGAGGCCAAGCTCAGGGAACAAGGTTGGGACCCTGTGCTTCTCTCTCACCACCGCAGAAACAGACTTTTCCCACTGACCTTCTAAGTTGTCTTTGGCATTTGTGGGTTGAGAAGTCTGGAAACTGCCACAGCTGCCTGTGATTCAGTCCTCTGCGGCCTGCTCCAGGTTCCCTGCGGCCTGCATGCCCACACCTGCGCTCCTCTCCTAGCCTGGCACGATCAACCATCCAGGTTGTCTTGGGCTGGAAATTTGTTTCACTTTGTCTTCTTGTGGGTTCTGCTGCTTTAGAATTTGTTTAGAGCCATTTTTTAATAGGTATTTGAAAGAGCACCAAATCTGGAGTCAGAGAAGGGGCCTTATTATCCTAGGTCTTTATATCCAGTATGATCTTGAACAGTTACTTCCCCTATCAAGTCCTCAGTATCCTCACGTGCCAAAAAAAAAGGACTAGATGATCTCTAAGGTCCCTTTTGGTTCTAAGTCCTATGGCATTATGAAATGTAAAAAATGTCTGTTGCACACAAAGGAGAGTCAATAACTGGTATGAATTTAAACAGATCTTCAACATTTTTATTTCAGAAAAAAAAATGTTGCTAACTTTACATTATAGAAACTAAAATAACTTCATATTCAGAAAAACAAATGAGTATATACAATTATACATAGTTACTTCAATATTACTTCCATCAGTGAAGATTGCAACACCTCTATAAAGTAATATTTGAGATTTGCCTTGGCCAACCTAGTAATGAACCTCTCCAGACTTAAACTAACCCATAGATAAGATATGTCATCCATCACCAGTTCTGTATTTCTTTGCAGCTTGATAGAGTTTATTAGAGCTTGTACTTTACTGACATAGCTTTGGGAAGCCTAAAAGTTACCTCTATGCAGATGATGAGGCACTGAAATTCCCTCATCTTTAAAAAGAGGACACTAAGAGCACCTATCTCAAAGGGTTATTGTAAGGATCAAATCAGATAATATACGTGAAACATTTTGCAAACCTCAAAGTGCTTTATTTAGTTTGAGTTATTATTATTATGGTATGACTGGCAAATAATCAACATAGTACAGGCAAATGATCTGAATGAAAAAGGAAAATTCAGCTAAGTTACTGACTTGCCCTTATATTCAAAGATGAGGCTACCAAACTCCATGCCTATTTTCTAGTCATCTACATCAACTCCACAAGGCCTGCCCGGCCTGCACCTGCCTCCCTGAGCAGCCATCCCTCAGTGCTTCAGGTACCTTCTCTGACCACTTCCACCTCCATAAGGAGTTATCTCGCCTCAGCTTGGGCACTTTCCTCATTTCCACCCTCCTTCCCTTCACTTTCCAGCCACAAAGCTTCCTGATGCCCTCTGACAAGTCCACTCAAGGCCCAATCTCTAGTAACAATGATAACCTACCTGAACTCATTCCTCAATGATTAACATACTTCCATGCCATCATATCTTCCCCATCTCAGCAATTTTGAATGCCACTGTTCATACCTCATTCTCTAACCCCCACTGCCTGCTCCCTTAACTCACACCCCCCTCAACCCAACCTCCTCCCTCCCCCAATGTCCCACTGTAAAGTTACCCAACCCTTCCACTGTGCTCTCTGAAATGACTGCTCCATAGGTAACAGCTTTCCTCGTAAATCTTTTCCTATTTTACACTTGCATTCACTGAGACCTGGCTCCCTCCTGTTCCTGATGACACATCTTCCATGTCTGCCTTTTCTAGCACTGGTTATACATTTATCATACCCCCTGACTTACTGATCATCGTGGGGGAGTATTCCTTGCTATATTCCTTGCTCTCCATTATCACTTCCAAATTCTCCCTCTACCACCATCATTCAGATGATCATTCAATCTATATTTATCACCTAACCAAGATCCTGGTGGCTATCATCTTCCAACTTCTAGAACCTTCCTAAAATCACTCCTTAGGATGCTTCTAGAAACACTTCCTTTTTCTACAAGTTTAGTGTCTGATTTAGAGTCTTTCCTACCCAACTTCTGCCCTCATAATGGAGAAGTTAAACATACATAATGATTCTTTCTCAACCACTCTAACCTCCCTATTCCTAAACTAACTCATTTCCTGTGACTTACTGCTCCACTTAATCACAGCAATACATAGAGATGTTCATACTCTTGATCTTGCCATCACTCACAAGCATTCCACATCCATATCCATGAAATCTGAAAATCCTTTATCTGATTACAATCTGTTGTCACTATACCTCTCCTTCTGTCTTGCAACTCCAAACCTTGTTGTTTATTCTCCATCTACCTCTCAGTTTTTCCTAGGCCATCATACTTGCAAAGGCTATCCTCTCTTCCCTTTCCCATCTTTCCCCCTTGGTGAACCAGTTCAACTCTATAGTGCCCTCTTCTCTCAAGAACCTCAAGATCCTACTGGAGATCTTGCCTTGCTAAACTCTAACCTTGGATTACTCCCATCATCTATTGCCTTCATTCCTATTCATGTACTGCTGAATGAAGATAGAGAAAATCACAAAATTGTGTTGACTGGGTCCATCTGGACCATCATTACAACAAAGCATTCCTTTTACACTCTTTTAAATATTTACATTCTTCCTCAAACCTCCCACAACTCCCCCACCCCCAACTTTCTCAGCTGAGATCCTGGCTTCATATTTCATTAAAAAAAATTGAAGTTATTCACTGAGAGCTCCCTCTTTTTTCCTCTTCCTCATCTTATGTCACTCAGATGCCTTTGGTCATCATCTACTCCTTTACCCTTGTCTCACAAAAATGCCCCGCACCTTGCCAAGGATAAGCACCCCTCTACATTCACATTTGATCCCATTCCATCCTGCATTCTACATTAGATTGTGCCCTCTATCATCCCCACTCTCTCACTTATCTTCAATCTCTCACTGCCTACTGGCTCCTTCCCTACTGCCTACAAATACACCCATGTCTCCCCCATCCTCAAAAAAACTCTTTCTTCAACCATCCATCCCCACAAACTATCTTCCTATATCTCTCCTTCCTTTCCTGGCTAAACTCTTTGAAAAAACTGTCTACAATAGGTGCCCCTACTTCCTTTCTTCTCACTCTCTCCTTAACCCTCTGCAATCTGGCTTCCTACCTCACCATTCCATTGAAACTTCTCTCTCCCAAGTAAAAAATGATTTCTTAAGTGCCATAGTTAAAGGCCTTTTCTCAATCCTTCCTCTTCTTGAGCTCTCTCTGCAGTCTCTGACACAGTCAATCACCTTTTTCTTGATACTCTCTTCTCTAGGATTTTGTGACACATCTGTCTCCTGGTTTTCCTACTACCTGACAGATTGTTCCTTTGCACTGGATCCTCATTCAAGTCACCCCTGCTAACCATAGGTATCCCCCAAAGTTCTGCCCTGGGTCTTCACAAATCTTTCTGTATTATTTTTGGCGATGTCACCAGCTTCCATGGATTCAATTACAATCTCCATGCAGATGATTCTCAGATCTATTTGTCTAGCCCTAACATCTTTCCTGACCTCTAGTCCCACATCTCCAAATGCCGTTTGGACGTCTCCAACTGGTTGTCCCATAGACATTTTAAATTCAACATGTCTAAAACTGAATTAGTTATCTTTTCCTTCAAACTTTGCCCTCTTCTTATTCTCCCTATTACTGTCTAGGGCACTACCATCCTCCCAACCATTTAGGCTTATAACCTAAGTATCATCCTTGGCTTCTCACTTTCTCTTGCCCCTCTTATTTAAGCAGTTGTCAAGTCATGTCATTTCATAACATCTCCAGTATATGCTTAGACTTGATCTCTAAGGTCCTTTCCAATTCTAACATTTTATTATTTTATTTTTGCATTTCATAAAGGGTAAAGAGAATCTTTATGAAAATTTTGTTTGAGAGTCCCAAATTTTTATTCATGCCATAGACATTCATAGACATTCATGCCAAAGACACAGAGCTAGAAGAGAGCCTTAGACGTAATCTAATCCATACTCCTCATTTTACAGATGAGGAAAATTAGGCTCAGAGAGGTTAAGTGATTTATACAAAGCCACACAACTAGTACTGTGAGAAGAAATGTTTGAACCCAGATTTTCCTGACTTCAACTTCATCATACTATCTACTATACTATGCTGACTCTCCTCTTTGCAGCTATGAGAGAAGGAAGGCAGACAGGATGGTCAAAAAAGAATATCATTTGTTCTAATATTGTGAACAAGTGATCAAACACTTTTATGGTTATTATCCTAGCTTCCCCATACTCACAAGGCCACAAATTCAGTACTGGAAAGAAACTTGTCATCTAGTACAATCCCCTTATTTTCAGATGAAGAAACTGAGGCCTAGCATGGTTAAGTGACTTATTCAAGGTCACACAGGCATTAAGTGAAAGAAATGGGATTTAGACTCAAGTCTTCTGACTCCAAATTCAACACACTTTCAAATGCAACATGCAGCTTCTTTACAGAACAATCATTATTCTTTCTAACAATGCCCATTGCAGTAAATCTTTCAACAAGCCCAACCTATGGCAGTCCTTTCCCTGTTTATCAATTCTAAGGAAAACTTGAGTACATCATTTTTACCTCATGAGCTTTGGGGAAATGAGAAGAATCATTTTCTCTGGTCTGTGCCCAGCAGGAGTTCCTATTTGGAGCCTTCCATGACAGTAACATTATACTACCTCAGGTCTCTGTTTCTTGAGTTTGGGGTCTCACAAGACTTGACCAATTCACCCAAGTGGAAAAAATGAATGCCTCAGAGAGTTTTAAGGAAATTGCAACTAGTAGCAAACTATTAAAAAGAAACCTGATTACTTCATACCTTCAGAGGTAAAACACAAGGCAATTTGGTAAAGAAAGTCTGAAACTGGTTACTGATGGTAGTCCAGAGGTTGCTCGGAGAATCCATTGGCAAAGCTTCCATGAAGGTGGCAATGTTTTCTAAGCAGCGTAACATGGCACCCCCTGCTGGCAAATTCTTTTTGTTATTCAAACCCTAGAAAATACAAAAACGTATTGGATCTGAGCTACTAAAAGATCAAAAATGCATATATTACATCACGAGCTTTAAAAGTATCTTTTTAAACCACCAACAATTACTAACTTACTTCAGTATTTCAAGAACCCATGATTTCATCATTCTGAGTTCTATCACCAACACAAACTGTAATCTCTTTGAACATTGGTAGACTATTTTCATGAGTTTCTGTGACATAAACGATTCATCACCTGGTAGCCAACCTTCTGGTGATAAAAGCCTCACTGCACTCAGTGAGGCTATATCTTGGATAACTGACATATGATGTTTATCACTAGGCCTATTCTTAAAAGGCTTCCCTCTTAGTAAGGACAGAGTTTGTGGTCCACTGGCATGGCCTTTGAGAATTCAGGGTCACTTCTTTATCTTGATGCATCAGAGAACTTTAGTCAAATACAAATTCACTCAAACTCAAGGAAAGAAAATGAGAGAAGAGTAAATAGAAACAAGAAAGAAAAGATCCAAGGTGTATTCATTCATTCAGCAGACATTCAGTAAGCACTTACTCTGTACAAGGCCCTATGCCAGGCATTTGAGGAATAAAACATAGTCCCTGCCCCCAAAAAATAATGGGGGAGGGGCAGTTAGATGACGCAGTGGATACAGCACTGGCCCTAGAGTCAGGAGGACCTGAGTTCAAATCCAGCCTCCAACACATGATACTCACTAGCTGTGTGACCCTGGGCAAGTCACTTAACCCCAACTGCCTCGCAAAAACAAACAAACCAAAAAACCCAACAAAAAACAACAACAACAACAACAACAAAAGAATAATGGGGGAGTTCAGAGGCAGGAGGAAAATAAACCTGCTGTGTGGACAAACCTCCACTGACGATCAACAAGTCTAAGTTCTCTGTGTTTTAGATCAGCTACAGAATTAGGGTGTCTCCCTTTGTCTACCTCCTGAGGTTTTCCCCCCTATTTCTGCATTAGATTGCAGGCACTTATCTAGCACTGGAGAAGTTATAAAAGTCCAGAGTATCAGGACAGTTTCTGCCAAGTCTTAGAGAGGCTGTAGAAAGAGCAGCAAGATCTTAAACATGTACATACTCATTCCAATTTCTATGTTCAAGTGCTCAGAAAACATTTTAAGGCCTTGTGTAACTTCCAGGTATTAGCCTAAGTTTTATACCTCTGTGCAGACTATTTTAGAAAAAAATTCAAGGCACTTCCAGGTCATGTGAGCAAAATGGAAGACTAGACATTTTCTCTGAACACCACAACCTCTCAAACCTTTCCCAAACAGAAATTGTGTGCCAAAGATAAAGCAACTTCAGCACTCTCCATTGTTTAGGACACATAAAATCCAAAATAAAGTTTTAAAAAAAACCCTGAACTGACACTCCCTGACTCTGAGCTCACTCAGCACCCTTTTCTCATCTCCCACACTACTGGCAGTGGAGCTGTAACAGAGACCCAAAGAGCCAACAGAGGCTATACAACACAACTCACCCCTACACCCTAGACCCCTCCCCTTCCCTTATCCAGTGCTGTAGAGATAGGTTGCAGAAATTTGCTCATGCTTCAACAGCCAGCTTAGTCACAGCCCTTCAGGAGCAAAAGCCTGCTAAGAGCTGTAATCTAGAAGCACCAGTGCAGCAAAGCACCAAACTACCGATGCCAGGCCAAAGAACTACGGAGCAGAAGGAATGGGACAGGTCACCAGGACAGGGCACCGTGAATGTTGGGGGCTGTGCGGCATTCAGCCTAGCCAGATGAGAAAAGCATAGCATCCAGTTGGGGCCAGTTCTGACTACCCAAAAGTCAGTTGAAGCAGAGAAAAAAAAATCCAAATAGAAAAGGAATTACTTGTGGATGCATATGCTCTATAGATGCTCCTTTTAGCAGATGACTTTGTGCCAATTACACTGGGTCTCAGAACACTAGAGGGCTTCCTCAGTGTGATATGCAATCGTTCAAACAAGACTGGCCTATCCATTTATGCAAGCAAACCAAATGGATGAAGAACATCTGTTGTATTGATGATGGCTTGCACTCAATGGACAGCCATTGAGTTAGTTGCTGATGAGAACCTTGAATTAATAGGCAGAATAGCCTATAAATAGTTGTTTTAATTATTTAGAGCTTAATGCTAACAAGTCATGAGTCTGAACCCCTTTGTTCCAATTACTTTTGTTATTCTGGGGCAGCTAGGTGGCGCAGTGGATAAAGCACCAGCCCTGAATTCAAGAGGACCTGAGTTCAAATCTGGCCTCAGACACATAACACTTACTAGCTGTGTGACCCTGGACAAGTCACTTAACCCCATTGCCTAGCCAAAAAACAAACAAAAAAAACCCAATTACTTTTGTTCTTTTCCATAGCCTCTAACTGTTTAAACCTGTGACTTAGCAAAAGGTGGCAACAACCCAAATGGGCTCACTGAGGGTATTCTTGGTATAAACTTAAATCAACTTTCCCACATCCCTCCATTTGGGCTCCCTCTTTTTCAGGAGATTCCCTAAGCCTTGAACTCTGGCCAATTAAAGACTTCCTTGTCACAGTTCCTTCGATATCATCACCCCTATAGGAAATGGGCTTGTACCAAGCAGATATATTTTTTAAAAGAAGAAAGATAGGTTTTAAAAAGAAATCAACTAGCCTGGCCTTTAGATTATTCCTTATCTTCCTTGACTCTAGCCTTGGCTCCTTCTGCTATTGGCAAGGGTTACCTTTCCTCCAGACCAAGGATTTCTTTAATTACTGAAGGGTGCAAATCCTGCTTCAGGCAGTGAATAGCATTAACTTTAGCCAGTCATCTCATAAATATGCACTCTTGGTCACAAGGGATGCTGGCAAGAGAGTGGATGACTCAGTATACTACTGTGAAAAAAGTGGAGGAATATAAACATATACTATGAATGTGTATAAATAGCTTCATCTTTGAATACTAAGGACACCATTTGGACCATCCTCACCAGAGTCTCATACCATACCAGGCAGAGGGAACCTCTGGGTCATCTAAGTCCATGAGGCATGAATCCACTCTACAACATTCCTGAAGATTGGTCACCAGTCTCAGTTCAAGCATAACCAATGACATTTCATAAGTTGGTATAATCCATTCTTACAGAGCTCTGATTATTAGGAAATTATTTCTTACATAGGACTGAAATTACCCAATTTACTCCTATTCATTTTCCCTAAGTCTGTCCTCTGGAGCTATGATGAATAAATCTAATCCCTATTCCTCATGACAACCCTTCAGATGCTAGAAGATGGCCTATATATCCCCTAAGTCATTAAATAGGAATACAAGGAAAACTCAATAATTGTTAACATTGTTCTCCTTTTTGGATTTTATTGTGGTTACAGCCTACATTTCCAGGCCAATGAATAGAGTGCTGAACTTGAACTCAAGAAGACTTGAATACAAATCTTGTCTCAGATGCTTAATAGCTTAATAGCTGTGTAACCCTGGGCATATCATTTAACTTCTAAGTCTCAATTCCTCTATATGTAAAATGGGGGTATGTCTTTTATTGCTTCCATCAGAGAGACTCCTTTAGATTAGTGCCTAAATAGAATTAATTATTCATTAGGAATACAAGGTGATGTTAAAACTGGAACACTGGGAAGCTTCATTCCTCTATTAAGGAGGTAGACAAGTTAAGAGCAAAGAACTCAAGACAACCTGCAAGGGTGGGTAAAGGACAGGAATAAAGATTGCCAGTTCCTGTGGCCTCCACCTACTAGTGCCTGGCTACCCACAGTGCTAAACTAAGCTCAGACACCATTTCTTGAAACTTTCTCTGATCCCTCTAGCTAGGAGAGAATCTTCCTCCCTCAATTGCACATACGTCTCTGATTTCCCTTTCTTCTTTTCTAACTTATATTACATTAGTTAGTACAAATATCTAATGACTACAAGATTACAAACTCCTTGAGGGCAGGAACAAAACTATTTTTTTTATCCCCACTGTCCAGAACACGGTCTTGAATATAGTAGGTATTTATCAAGTTCTAAGACATTCTGAAAGTGGGCTACAATCTTTACAGCTAGTCCCTAAACCCACTACCAAATATGGGCCGGAGGCTCCAAGAAGCCCCAAGGTGACAAAGAAAACACTATCAGTTATAAGGAAGTTAGGGGATCTCCAGATCATGTACCAGTATTTTCAAATTGCTTCTTCTGGTCCCCAATTTTCAGGCAAGATTTGAAATATCTTTCTGGAAAACCTACCTCCAACAGCTGACTGAGTGCAGCAATGGAACTAAGCTCATTGAAGTCCATGAGAGATGTAGCTAAGGTTCGTAAAAAACTCCCATCTGGAAAAACAACAATCTAAGTTAGCAGGGTTTCAGATCTGAATGACTGGCCACATATTAAAGTCTCCTAAGAATTACCTTTTATACTGCTCTGGAACAGCTGTGGGAATATCCCATTGGGAGCTAGTTGATGGAAGATACAGCGGAGAAACTGCTTCGCCACCCCTGCAGCATTACCAGGGATCATCATGCTGGGATGAAAGAAGGAAAAAAAGCACAAGATGTCAAGAAACTTTTTCCATTCTTCCAAATTCCAAGAAATAACTTTGCATCATGATTTATACTAATTCTCTTACTGTAATTTGTGCTAGATAAAGTGGATATGGTCATCCCTAACCCCAGTAATAGTGAAAATTCAGAATCATAGAAGTACAGAATCATGGTATGTTTGAGTTAGAAGAAACTTTAAACATAGACTTTTGAGGGGAAAGAACACAAAATGTGAGATTTATAGGGTATATTAGATCATAGAATATTAGAGTTGGAAGGAGAGTTCAGCATGAATACTGAAACATAGAACACTGTTGGATCCAAAAAGTACCTTTGAACATAGATGTTAAACCACTGAAAACAGAATCTTAGAGATAACAGGTATCTTAAAACAAAGAACATTAGAAGAAAGTGTACAGAATCTTAAAAATGGAAGGAACCTCAGAGAATATCTGTCCTAACATTCGCACTTTGCAGATGAAGTAATAAAAGCCTTCTACTTAATTTTTCCAAGTTCTAAAGGCCTCTCCAGCTCTAAGAATCCGTAAGATGTATTTAGTATACTTATAAGCTATTAGAGCTGGAAAGCACTTTAGAAATTATCTAGTCTAATAAGGAACCATCTTCTGCCCAGGTAAATGAAGTGGTTTACCAAAGGTCACCTGGAGAAAGCTAGAGGCCAGGTATCCTAGCTCTTGAGGTCAGTGTTCCTTCCATTCTACCACACTGCTTCATAATCCAGAGAAAGTCAATAGATAGATTCTAACAGACTTCCTTGCTTTATCAGTTCCTTCATCAGACTAGATAATATCTAAAGTTTCTTCCAGAACTAATAGATAGTTTATGAGTCTACACTAAATCAATTTTGCTCAAATGAAATATCTTGAAAAACACTCCCACCTTTTAAAGAAGAAGTAATTGATACATTTCTCTTCAAAAGCTATTCTCTTTTAGGCATTAAAGATAAAAAGTTAATTCAAGTATTCCAGAGCACATCAGAAAAGAGAGAAATAAAGAAAGCCTTGGAATTCCTCCTTTGGAACAATCTGACCTCTATACACTCAGCCTTCCTATGAGGCTTCATGACTTTTGGAAATTTCCATTTGCTTCCTCATGGGAATGATCTAATAAATGTCTCAGTTCCATATGTTCACTTTTATTGCTATTAATTTCCTTTCTACCCATATTGGGAACAGCTGTATTTGAGTAGTTGAAGGGCTATCACATAGAAAAGAGTTTAGACTTGTTCTATTTGGCTCCAGTTAGCAGAATCAGGAAAAATGGAGGAGAGGGAAGGAAAGTTACAAACAGGAAAATTTAGACTTAATGTCAGAGAAAAGTTGCTACCTATTTGAGTTGTCCTAGGCTGCCTCCTGAGGTTGAAATTACCCTTCATTAGAGGTTTGAAAGCAGTGGCTAGATGAACATTTGTTGGATGTGTTCTAATTAGAGTTCCTTTCAAGTATAGGTTGGACTAGATGGCCACTGAAGAGCCTCCTAACTCCGAAATTTTGTGATTAAGATATTTTGAAAGGGGAAGGTTGGAAAGAGAAAAAATGGATTTTTGTTCAGTGAAAAAAATTAAAAGTGTTTTTTTAAAAGATACTTTGATCCTTCAACAGTTCTGTGATCTCTTCAATGTGGATACTCTATTCCCTCCTGCAGGTTTCAATACCTCCATACCTTCTCATTCTGTGCAATTTTTATCCATTTATTTACATAAATTATTTACAAAGACTCCAATCAACACACAGGAGACTTTCCTTTTTTTTAATATTTCATAAAGAATAATGTTGCACTTGGGCTGTCAAGCATGTGTTAGCTTTCATTCTTTCTACATGACCAGTTCACTTCTTTTTTTCAGTCATTCATGTGATGATCTCTTTTATTACACTTTTCCCAGGTAAATTATCATTGCTTAGATGCTACCTGCTTATTCCCACCGTACAACATTCTAATGCCATTTGTTGTTACTTTTGACAACAGTTCTTCCAAGACTGATGTACATGATATGCAGTCATATATTATGGTATCATTAAATAAAAGATCACTATAGGTTTTTTTAAAGATTATTATTATTAAAAAAAAAAGACGGGCTTTTGTAGTCGTAAACTATTTGGAGATAATAGGTAGGGGAATCACAGTTTTCTAATGCAATTAATTTCTCCTACCCATTTCAATTCCTTCATTTGACAGCAAATGCCTCTCCAAATAAGAGACTGTGATAACCCTATATCTACACCAGGGAAGGGAAAAGAAAATCTATGCACAAGATTCACATGTCAAAATGAAATTCATTAAAAGATATTGTTTATTGCTCACTAGAGATTAGAGTAACATACTATGGGCCTTCAAATCTACATCCAGACTGGGGCAATGGTATGGTAAATACAAAGATTACTTCCAGGCTTCATTTTACATAAGAAAAGTCTTATCTCTGATGTATGTTAGATATGCCCCTTCCTCTTCAGGGGTTCCAGGACAGTGACTGGTTTGGCCAAGGTATTATCTACTACCTCTGTTTTCAGATCTATGCTTTGGAATCTTTGATTGAAGCAACTGGTTGAGGAGAATACTGAATTGGGACTGGATTTTCCTTGCTTTCCTCATGGATAGCTAACAGGGAGTATATAGGGCCTTTTGGATGATTCTGGATACCATAGGACTCCAGATGGACACTTTATCTAAAAAGTTATTATTTGGGCAAAGAGAAGTGACATTCGAGTTTGGAATTTTATACGAGAAATACTAAGTCAGGCTCCACAAGGGATAACAAATAAACTTCCAATACATAAAGATGCTAATAAGGCAATAAAGGGCTTACCTATTAATAGTTATGTATAAATGTCTTTATGCATTTGTATATTATAAAGCAAGCAATATTGACTCTTTTACTTTTCTTAGGATAAGAAAGGTTAACATTTGCAGTTACAAAATTCTAAGAAGTAATCCTTATATCCACAAGGATATATGGATATCCTTATACACATAATAAGAAGGGATCATAAAGACTATAGAAACTAGATATTATGAAAAGTATTATCATTGTTAAAGATTCGTCACAGTTGCCATGGTCAAAGTATTCATCACCACCCTTTGGATATGAACCTCCATGGACTTATCTAGGCTAAATCCCTGGATGGCAGAAACAGTTTATCACCAGGCTTATACTCAAAGCCATTCTTAACTTTCTATTAGGACTACCAGAGCTTACACCCGATGACACAGCCTGAACCTCTAGGATTACCTCCATACCACAACAAGGCATTAGTATAGGACTTTTCAGAAAACTCAACTTAGATAATGAAAGGAAGAGGATCCTCTAAAATGTTGGATTCAAAAATCTATATAATGTTCAACATCTTGAAAGAATTACTATAATCCTATATGGTTTACATTCTGAATTGTAGTGACACTATCTATCCTCAATTACTAAATATCAGTTGAAGGAATTAGCCTAGAAAAGAAAAGACTTAGAGAGACATCAAATTGGTCTTCAAGTACCTGAAGGATTATCAGAGGGATTAGACTTGTTTTCCTTGGTCCTATGACCAATACTTTAAAATTACAGGGAAGGATCAGCCAAGATGGCAAAATAGCAGGAAGAAGTACAACCATGATCTCCTCACAACTATTCAACAAAGACCTAGAAAATGCACCATAACAACACCATAACAATTGGCACTTACTATGTGCCAGGTACTATACTAAGTGCTTTACAAATATCTTATTTGATCCCTACAACAACTCTGGGAGGTAGGTGCCATTATTATCCCCATTTTGCAGTTGAGGAAATGGAGGTAGGCAGAAGTTAAGTGACTCAAGGTCACAGAGTTAATAAGTGTCTGAGGCAGGATTTGAACTTAGGTTTTCCTGACACCAGGGCAGCTAGGTGGAGCAGTGGGTACAGTGTCAGGCCCTGATTCAGAAAGTTTCATGTTCATGAGTTTAAATCAGGCTCCAGAAACTTACTAGCTGTGTGACCCTGGGCAAGTGACTTAATCCTGTTTGCCTCAGTCTCCTTTTCTGTAAAATGAGCTGGAGAAGGAAATAGCAAACCACTCTAGTATCTTTGCTGAGAAAACCCCAAATGGGATCACAATGAGCTGAACACAACTGAAAAATTACTAAAAAAAAATTATTATTTTTTTTTTTTTAGGCAATGGGGGTTAAGTGACTTGCCCAGGGTCCCACAGCTAGGAAGTGTCAAGTGTTTGGTCTGAGGCCAGATTTGAACTCAGGTCCTCTGGACTTTAGAACCAGTGCTCTATCCACTATACCACCTAGCTGCCCCTTAAAAAATTTTTTTTAAACTTCCTGACTCCAGACCCAGAACTTTATCCACTGTGCCCCTTTGGGGCCTTGTACCACAAAAAGTGCTGATCAGAAAATCTAAGAAAAAATTATAGCAAGTCATATTTATATCCCAGGCGAACATAGGGAAATAGAGTGAGAGGTCTGTAGACAATGGGTATAGAATCTGGCAAAGAACAGTCATGCAGGACATTCCAGCTCAGGGACTAAACAAAGGCCTTCACAGTACAGTGCTTCAGTCAGGGCAAGAAGAAGTCTCAGATCTGGCACAGAGGGGTCTGACCTTGTGCAGGAAGCAGGAACAGGTATCAGTTAAAAGTTCTACCATTTACTACCTAGTACTGGTAGTACTGGTAGTAGAGGACACAGATCACAGATCCAGTGCAGAATGAGGAATCTGCTCCTAGATGTGGTGGTCCAGGGTGAAGAATGGTCATGGTCAAGGGCCTTAGACTGTGTACTGAGTAAAGTGCAAGTACAAAAGCAAGCAGCAGATGTGTAGCTCTGATCCCAACCCTGACCCTAACGCAAATTGTCAGGAAGTAGGGCTGGGAAAATGAGCAAACAAAACAAGAATCCTATCATAAATCCCATCAGACAAGGAACTCAAGCCCTAAACCCACAAGAAGAGAATGACTCCAAATCATCCACAAGCAAAGCCTCAAAGAAAACATAGATTGGGCACATGTTCAACTAAAATTCCTCGAAAAGATGAAGCAAGAGTTTTTAATAACTAAAAACAGTTTTATAAATAAAATTAGAGTGCTAGGAAAAAATAATGGAAAAGAAATGAGAGCTATGGAAGAAAGAAGTGGAAAGAGAATCACTCCTTGAAAATTAGAATGGCCCAAAAAGAAGTTACTGACCCCATGAGTCAACAAGAAATGTTTTGAGTTTTTTTTTAAGTCAAAGAACTATAAAAATAGAAGTATAAGTTATCTCATAGCAAAAACAACTGACCTGGAAAACAGATTGATGAAAGATAATTTAAGAATCACTGGACTACCTGAAAACCATGACCAAAAAAGAGAGAGAGAGAGAGAGAGAGAGAGAGAGAGAGAGAGAGATTAGACATCATATTTCAAGAAACATAAAAGAAAACTGCCCGGATTTCTTAAAACCAGAAAGCAAAGTGAAAATAGAAAGAATTTCCTGGTCACTTCCCAAAAGAAAACCCAAAATAAAAACTCCCAGGAACATTATAGCCAAAATCCAGGGCTTCCTGGTCAAAGAAAAAATAGTGCAAACAACTAAAGGAAAAAAATTCAAGTCCCAAGAAGTTAGAGTCAGGATCATACAAGATTTAGGAGTCATAAATATAAAGATGTAGAGAGCTTGAAATACAATATTTTAGATGGCAAAAAATATGGCTTATAACTAAAGCACCTAGATGGCACAGTGTAGAAAAGTGTCAGAACTAGAGTAAAGACGTCCTGAATTCAAATCTAGCCTCTGACACTTATTAGCTATATGATCTTGGACAAGCCACTTAACCTCTGCCTGTTTCAATTTCTTCATCTGTAAAATGGAGGTGATAATAATAACACCTATCTCTTAGGGTTGTTGTTATGAGGATCAAATGAGACAGTATTTGTGAAGTGCTTAGCACAGCATATAATAGGCTCAATAGAAACATTAGTTATTATTATTATTATTATTATTATTATTATTATTAGTAACAACAACAATAATAATAACCCAGCAAAACTGAGCATAATCCTCCAGGGATTATGGACCTTACTGTGAATAAAAGATTTGCAAGCATTCCTGATGAAAAGACAAGAGCTGAGCAGAAACTTTGAAATAATAAATAATTACAAGAATAGTACTGTGTATATAGCCCTTTAAGGTTTGCAAAGCACTTTCACAAATGTTATCTCATTTGATCTTTACAATGATCCTGAAAGTTACATGCCTTTATTATCTTCCTTTTATAGTTGGGGAAACTGAGTAGACAGAGGTTAAAGTGACTTGTCCAGAGTCACACAACTAGTAAATATCTGAGGATAAATTTGAGCTTGGGCTTTCCTGACTTCAAATCTGGCACTCTACACACTGTACCATCTAAATATAAAAACAAGCAATCATAACTGTAAACATAAATGTAAACAAGGATCCACTGTTTGTATTCTTAAATGAGTATATGACACATGTGTTCCCCAAGAACCCTGCCATCATCAGAGATCATAAAGGGATTCAAGTAAGACAGAGGGCCTGGGAATGGGCTTTTTAAGTTTTGGTGATCTTAAAGGAAAAAGGGGGAAAGGAATATACTAGAAGAGAAAAGGAAGAGAATGGGTAAGGGATTTAGGTGCATAAATAGGACGATACAAACAAGGAGAAAGGGGAGGGGGAGTAAGTGGCACTTCAGCCTCATTTTCATCAGAATTGGTCAAAGGAGGAAAAAATACATACACACACAACTGAGTACAGAAATACAGTTTACTTGACAGGTAAACAGGAGGGGAAAGGGAGAAGGAAGAAGGATGAAGAGGGAGGGAAAACTATGGGAGGGATTTATTGTAAGCAAAATGAACTAATAATGGAGGATAGATTTCAAAGAGAGGTTTAAAAATATATGCTAAAAATCTATGATTGGGCTCTGGGTAAGGGAAAGAGAGGGGCGGCAGAGAGGCAGAAGCAGATTGCATCAAACCTAGAATACTGGTACTGAGCACATTACTCTCACACAACCCTTTTCTTTTTTTTTTTTTTTTTTAAAGAGAGGGCAAGGAAACTGATCAACACATTAACTATAATTCCAGAGAACTGTGAGAAGCATGTTACTCACCTCGTGACAGAGAGGTGATGGACTCAGGGTGCAGACTGGGACATTTTTTTTGGACATGGTCAATGCAGCCTATACCCCAAAGAGATCAAGGAAAGTGAAAAAGGACCCATATGTGCAAAAATATTTATAGCAGCTCTTTTTATAGTGACAGAAGTGGAAACTAAGGTGGGACGAAGACAGGTATCACTTGAGGAATGGATGAACAAATTATGTTGTATGAATGTAATGGTATATCATTGCATCATAAGAAATTATGAAAAGAATGGTTTCTGAGTAACTCAAGAAGACTTATATAAAGCGATGTAGACTACAAAGTCATGTAGTGAATGACATTGTAAAGACAAACTACTTTAAAAGATTTAATAACTCTAATCAATGCAATGACCAACCACAATTCCAGAAGAACAACAATGAAGAATGCTACTCATTTCCTGACAGGGAAGCAATGCACTCAAGATGCTGAATGAAATATTCATTTTTACATAGTTAATGTTTGTTCCACCTGAACATGCATTTTTTCCAAGGGTTTCGTTTTTCTTTTTTTCAAAGGGTACAATGAGGAGAGAAAGCAAATTCTTGTTATTTAAAAAAACACTTTGTAAAAAAAAATTACAGGGAAACAGATTTCAACTAAATAGAATGAAAAATGTCCTAATAAAACTATCAAAAAGAAGAATGAATTGTATTAGTGGGTTAGTGGGTACTCTTTCACTGGAGAAGTTCAAATATAATGTAGACAGGATTAATACTTCAGATAGAGGTTGGACTAGATGACCTATTTTCTGTTGTTCTTAAAAGTACATTCAAATTTGTGTTTCAAATAGTGACGTCTAATCAATTTCAATCTTTACGAGTTTCTGGAATCTTTTTTAGTAACTATAATAAACACAGTTCAAAACAAAAGATTATACTTTTTCCTGGAGCTAAATTCAAATGGGCATTTGAGTCCATGTATGTTATATCAAATAACATGGTGCATTTCTAATAAGCTTTGTGGACTATATACTGTAGCTTACACAAAAAGGCAAATCAGCATCTAAAAATACCTAACAAGTTAGGAACGTGCATCTGTTGAACACATTTCTATGCTATGTATAGCCTTGCTTTGGTGGTAGGAACTAAATGACCTTACATTATCATAGAAAATAAAGTCAAATCTTATTTGTAATTTTAACTACAGACACTGATTGAAATTTCCAAAACCTTTCTAGGATCTGACCTTGATACTTGATAACACAAATTCATATCACAGTTTTGAAAATGAGGAAGCCTTGTAATAAAACTCATGTGTCTTTGGAAAGGCAGGAGGTTCCATTAAAGAAGAGAAAGATAAGAAAATGTTTCCAAGAGTCAGAAAAAAAGAATTCTAAAAAAAATTGACCTGATGTCATAAGAAATAAGGCAGATGTCCCTATTGTCACATACTATGTGTGTCCTAAAATTTATAGATAAAATTTTTATTATGGAAAAGAATCATAATAATATAATAACAATAAGTATAAGAACGACAACATGGGTGTGCTGTTGAAGCCAAAGATGCTAAGAATCATAGATTTTAGACCATCTACAAACACTATTATAATTAATAGCAACAAAAATCATCTTATATTTAGACAGCACTTCAAAATTACAAAGGGATTTCATAACCAACATCGTGTTTGAGTTTCACAGGCTCCTATGAGTTGGGTCATACTTATATACTTGAACATATCAATAGATTCATGATTTCATTGATACAGGTACGCCTTCTACCAAAACAGATCATACCTTCTCATCCTGTGTCATTTTTTCCATATATCTTCTACAGAGCATTTGCCCAATATGATGGAGACCTTACTCTAGTTCATTTTATGTTTTTTTGCTGTCAGTGCAGCAATTAGTCTATCTGTTACCACCTGCATTCAATATAACTGGCCCATCTCCTTTTCAGTCATCCATCTTCTCAATAAAATCCTTTACTACTCTTCTTCCTTATTGGAAATGGAACTATGTAGCCCACCATACATCCTTTCATTTCTCTTTGAGTCACCTGAAACTTTGAGGTGGTCAAGTTAACTATTCCCATTTTATAAATAAGGAACGCAAGGTCACCCAGTTTGTAAGTGAGAGAGCTGAAGTTCAAATTTAGCCTCCTGTCTCTTAGCCCAGGTGTACTGTCTATAGTATTCCCTTAGTGCCTTTAAAAAACAGCAAGAATGTAAAAAGAAAAAAGGGGGAAGGGTAGAGAAAATATATTTGGCTTACTTTGGTACCTTACCTTTCTGCTTGGTTGGAAAAACTGGTGCTGGATGCCAATCTAAACAAAATACCAAAAAATATAGTCACAGGAATGTCCTGACCTTGGTCATGGAATACAATATCAGGAAAATTACAAATAGAAATGGACCTAGAACCATTATAAAATACTCCATAATTGAACTACAGATACTGGAAAGAACCTTAAAAGTTGCCTGAGGTCCAAAAAGATAAAAATGATTTGCTCAAAGTCACATGGAGGTAAGTGGCAGAGTGAGGATTAAAGCCCAGGTCTTCTGACTCCAAATTCAGTATTCTTTCCACAATACTATGATGTCTCCCATTAGTCCTTTCAGCCTACAAAAGTGTTTTTTTAAATAACAAGAGATACATCTCTTCAAATTCCATCCAACCCATCAAAACTGTTTCAAGTATCAAATTATATGATTCCTAACCAGCATAATTTAGATAAACAGATAGCACAATTTATGTAAACAGATCAACAACTTACACAGTGCCTAATTTCAGAACCCCTATTTAAAAGTCTCCCTCAGAATAGATGCCAATTAATATTTAAGATAGTAATTAATCATCATATCTATTTAATACAAAAATTATTTCAAGTAGTATCCCAAAGGAAAATGTAGTATATATAATGGGCCAGGGGTAGGAGAAGGGTAATTTGAAACAGGGTTTAATTCATTAATTTATTCAGTATCTGGCACATAGTAGGAATTTCATAAATACTTGTTTCCTTCCTAATACCCCTATCTAAAATCTAATTAACTCTGGCTGGTTAATGGATAGCAAATGATAATCATTGGGTAGAGCATTCTAGTGAGGACTTATAAGCTATAGCATTAGAAAGATACCTCTAACCCATAACAATTAGTCCTATAACCTTAAGGAAAAAGTAACCTCACTCAGGATCCAGCTAGCCAGTGCAAATAGGGGTTTGGCAGAGTCATGTCAGAGCCTGTGCTGTAATAGGATATGTGATGGGATATTTGACCCACTTTAGTCCATTTTAGTATAACTCATTATTTCTTGGATTTAGTTATATAATACATCAAATCACTTCCCCTAAAATACAGTTATCCATAATAAAAAGAAAATAATAGGATACAATGAAGCCTGTAACAAAGGCCTTCTTCCCCTAAAGCAGCATTATAGATCAGGACCACTACTTTTAATTTCTCTCATCTCTCATCTGCTGCACTTTAAAGTACTTAGTATGAAGTGCTTCTTTGCCAAGGTGAGAGAAAGGGAAAATTCTAATGATAAGTTTCGCTTAAGGAAAAACTTTCTTCAGAAGATACATCTTTAAGAAATTTCTCTTTGTCAGTTAGTTGTTTCATGGGATGGTATCAGCCTAGGTAAATAATTCTCTCTGTTACAGAATTCATTAGTATTGATAATAAGGAATAGTGGAAACTCCCTAAATGAACATTCATTTCCTGAACCTGTCAAGTAGGTCTGATATGAAATAAACATCACTTCCCAATTGTTCCAAAACTGGGATAGATGATAATATAGGTAGGACTTAGTATTTAACTTCCTAGCTCCTTACTCTTGAAGTTCCCATGGTGATCACTTGGGACTCTTGGATATTCCTTTGTCCACACAGCAATATAGCTGGGCACCACTGCACAATCTTTTTGCTCCCACTTACCACATGACCTTGGAATACAGGGTATAAACAAATCTTGGAAGGAAAGGACTGACAGTTGTGGTTACCCTTTAGCTTGATGTAGTATCCTTCACAAATTGGAAGGAAGAACTTCTAGGTGAGAGGAGAGGAGGCAGGAGAGGGGAAGGCAGGAAAGAGGGACTGGAGAGGGAGTAGAGAGAGGGGGAAAGGGGGAAAAAGACAGTGGATCTTAAATCTACTAAAGTCTATAAGCTTTCCCTTTTCTTGAAATATGTAAACCCTTCCTTTCTTTTGAGGCCCAGGTCAGGTCTTACTTCCTCCATGATCCTTTTCCTGGGGAATCCCATACTACAGGAATCTCTCCTTTTCCTGAGCTCCTATCACACTTACTGCCTTATTGCTCATTTGGTACTTATTTTTATGTTGCTGTGAAAAGTTTCTTAACTGTTTTATGCATTCATTTTGCTTCTATCCTCAGCTAAAGGATAAGCTACTGGAGATCAGAGAACTTGTCTTATATGTCCTGCCACAACGCTGGGGAAGGCATTCTATAAATTACCCCTAAACTGAATGATATCTTATCCCCTTGTTTAAAAAAAAAAACTAATGTGCTAGAACTAGAGTTTAGCATTTGATTGCATCTATGGAATGTATCATCCACAGAACCACAGAATCGTAACATTTTAGAGTCAGAAAGAACAGGTCCTCTAGCTAAACCTCATTATTTTACAAATGTAAAAACTGAGAAGGGAAGTGACTTACCCATAGTCACATAACTAGTTAGTGGCTGTCATGAGCTTTCATATGTTTATCTTCTAAAAGATCTACATCAGACATGTTTGTCCTAATAAACGGCCTACGGCAACTAAGTTTATTACATTTATCATTTAATCAGGATGAAAGACCTGTATCCCCAAAGCTATTTCTTTTCCTTCATTTCGCAGGGCCAGGCTAATCTTTGAAATCTTCCATATTTATTTCCTTGCCCTATTCACTAGATCCTATTACTTCCAAATATACTTCTGCTCATTCAATAAAATGAGTTCATGTATTTACTACTCAATACTAGCATATGTTGCCTCACTGATTACAAGACACTGAACTTGAGGGTTGCCTACAATACCTCTCTGAAATTGTGTCACAGCATCCAAACAACTGACAAATTCAGTTCACAAATTAGCTGTGTTCAATAAAAATTAAAACAAACAAAAACAAAAACTACATGCAATAAAATTGAGTCAGCCCATTTATTTGGTATTACTCTTACCAAACAACCAATGAATGAGTGAGCTGTTTCATTATTGTATTATTTGATTTGGTGTCACAGAAATTCATACCAGCGAGTAGAATTCTTCCCGCCTATAAAGACAGAAAATGGCATTCACCTTCCCACAGACTGCATGATATCCAGCAACAAAGGAGCTGCAAGATCTGGACTTAGGTGGATGAATGTGGAGAGCACTACAATGGCTAGTCCTAGTGTTTCTTCATCATATTCTTCAAGAATGGCCCCACAGTCGTGGCATCTAAAAAGAAAACAGAGAAGGAAATATTATATATAAACAATAAAGGGAGGGTTTTAAAGCACCAGAAACCAGATCTAACCACTTCCAATAGTTCTCATTTTATATGTCTTGGATCTTGGATCTTGCTTGGATCTTGCTCTATTTGAATAGCCCCACAAAGTTCTCATCTCACCACCACCACAGGCATGGGAAAAGGAATTGTAATTTATGACAAAGATTCCTTTCATTAGCGGAGGGGCGATATATGTTCCTAATGACATGACTTGTACTAAATTGTTGTTCCCTTTTGTCATAAAAGGTCACTTGAATAACTCCCTTGTGCTTTCTAGTTGAAGAAAAATATATTCAATTAGTAGATGAGTGACAGAAGGGTCTAGTCAATAGTATCTGAGGAGCCCAGGGAAATTCAGATTTCAGACTTTGCTGTACACATTTACAACCTTTAGCCAAATCTTTATCTCCCTGTGCCTCAGTTTGAGGATGATGATCATGATGATGATGGTGGTGGTGGTGGTGGTGGTGGTGATGATGGGTGATAGTGATGACAATGATGATACCAATAATAATAGTTTACATTTACAGAGCATTTTGAGGTTTATAAATCCATTTACAAAGTGCTGATATAGAAAAATAGAGCAAAAGGAAGGTTTTTTTTTTTAATATGCAAGTAGAGGAAAGGAGAATGAGTGTTATGGGTGTTTTTCAAATACAGAATAGCAAAAATTAAGTTATTTTTTAAAAAGAAAAATATAGAGGACATTTGCTCCTAAGTAACTTACAATTTATTATTTTTTTCATGTATACAGGATAACATTCGATTGCCTTCAAGTCAACAAATATTCATTAAACATCCACTACATGCAAGATACTAGGCTAAGCACTAAGAAAACAGACAAAAATGAAATAGTCTCTGCCCTCAAGGAGCTTACATTTTACTGGAGGTGTGTATAACATGAAAATATAGGTAAATAAAAAGTAATTTGAGGTGAGAGCAAATACTAATAACTTGATAGAAAAAGCTTCATAGAGGTGACAAGAAATGAACCTTAAAGAAAATAAGGATTCTGAGAGTCAAAGATGAGAAAGTGGTACATTTCAGTATGGAGAATGGCTTGTGCAATGGCACAGAAGTAGGAGAGGAATTACCTCACTGAGGGAACAGTCACTGACCCAGTTTGGCTGAAATACAGAGAATGTGAAGGGGAGTCATGTGAAATAAGACCAGAAAGGATTAAGACTTTGGAGGGTCTTAAATATCACACTAAGGAATTTGTATTTATCATAGAGACAATAGGGAGCCACTGAAGGTTTTACAGGGGAATAACATGAGCAGATCTGCTGGATTTGAATATCAGAGAACCTTGGTTCAAATCCTGGCTCTGCCACTTACTAAGATTCTGACCTTGGGCAAGGCAGTTACTCTTTCTGGATGCCATTTTCCTCATCTATAAAATTAGGTGGTTGAACTAGATGGCCTTTAAGGTCCTTTCTAGCTCTAAATCTATGATCCTGTGATGCTATACACTAAGAAGTTTGCTCTAGATCTGTGTGGATAGGGAAGAGTCTAGAAATAGGGAGACTAATTATGAAGCTATTACAATAGTCCAGATGAGAGATGAAAACAGCCTAAACTGGAGTGGAAACCCTGTGAATGAAGAAAAGAGGATAAATGCAAGAGATGTTGTGATGGTAGAATCAATAGAACTTGGCAACTGGTTGGATATGGGGTTGGGGGAGAGGGAAGAGTCAAAAATGACTCCAAGGTTACGAACCTGGGTGACTGGGAGGATGGTGGTGCCCTCAACAGAAATAGGGAAATTGATGGCATTTCCAGGAGGAAAGAAGGGAAATTGTTTAAAGAGTAAGGAAAGAACCTAAAAAGAAAAAAAATGTATACATTTCAATGTTGTGTTGATAATTTAGAATTATATAATTAGCCAAGAAGGGCTGAAACAATAATATTAATATTAAATAATATTAAGTCTATGACAGTAATATTAAAAATAACTCATATTTATATAGCATTTTAGAGTTTACAAAGCACTTCTCCCATAGAAACCCTGTTAGATAAATAGTGTAAATTATAAACAGGCCCAGTATCTCTGAGTTGGAAGGGCACTAAAGGTCATCTAGTCCAATGAGTACCTGAACAGGACACTCAACTTCTGGCTAAAGCCCTCCAGCATTGGGAAACTCATTTACTCTTGAAGCACCACATTCCACTTTCAGATAGCTCTAATTGTTAGGAAGGTTTCTTTTTTTAATAACAAAATTAAGTCTGACTTTGCAGCTGTTATCCATTGTTACTAGATGTGCCCTATGAGGGCATGCAGAACAAATCTAATCCCTCTTCCACATGACAATCCTTCAAATATTTAAATGTAGTTATCATGAACTTCCCCTTTGGATTTTGTCTTCTAATTATCCTGATGTATTTCAACTGATCCTCAAATGTCATGATTTCTAGTTCTTTCATCAGTATGATTGCCTCTTCTGCATGCACTCTGGTTTGTTGATGTTTTTCCCAAAATGTGGTACCCAGAAGGCAACATAATTCTCCAGGTCTGGTCTGACCCAAGGAAGAATACAACTAAAATTCTCACCTGTCTCATTCTAGGTATTATGCTTCTCCTAGTGTATTCTATAAGTACCTTAAGTACAGTCAGTCAAGAATATCCTTATCTTTGTATTAACTGACTTGGCACAGAGTTGACTCACATTGATATTATAGTCCACTAAATCTCCTCTTTTTCTTCATGCTGCGATATGAAAGTATTGTACCATTTTATAGCCATAGATCAGAGAAATTAAGTGACCTGTCCAAGGTTTCACATTTATCATGTGTTAGAAGAAGCATTCAAACTCAGATCTCTTGATTCCAAGTGCAATGTTCACTTCACTATACTATACTACCTCTCCTATATTGGAATATTATTGGAATATTATTCTTCCTTCTACATATTGGGAAACTGAGAGTCAGGAAGTTAAATACACTGCCCCAGGTTAAAGGAGTCATATTTACAGTACCTTACTGTTTGTAAAGTACTTTCCTCGGAAGAGTTGTATGAATATAATTATCTCCATTTTACAGATGAAAAAAACTAAGGCTTTAAGATAGAAGTAATTTGCTAAGCTCACATAGTGTATATGGGAAGAAAGCAGGTCCAAAATCCAGATTTTCTAATTCCTGGTCTAGTGTAATTTCCACCACTTGATCTCACCACCTCTAGAATAAAATTAAGGAATCATAGGATTTAGAACTACAAAGAATCTTAGAGATCATCTATTCTAAAGCCATCACTTTATAGATGAGGGAAAAAAGGTTCATGGAGATGAAGTGATCACTGTTTCCCTATATGCTTTCTTGCTCTAGGAATTGATTTAGAGGCCACGGACATCACCCATCAATAATCTAAAGATGAACACCAGAATCAGTGCACAAATTCCTGATATGTAAAAATAGTTTACAACAGCAAAAGGCCACACAGAAATTGTGTTGAGATGATACAACATTTAATATCTTTGGGGGAGGAGGGAAGCTGCATGATATCACCAGTGAGGTGATCATTCAGTGAGGAATGATGGCAAAGTTTTCAAATGCTCAGATACTCCCCAGGTATCTCAGGTATTATGGGTACAATATCCAGAGAAAGAAGAGTGGGAGAATTTTATGATGCATTTTATAATGATGTGTTAAAATTTTGTTACAATGAAGGCAAAGCTATAAAGTTAAAGAGGTTGACTGAGTAGAATATGCCGATTGATTATGCATATAGTCCTTAAAGGAGTCAACACCAATCCACTCATTAGAGGCAGTGTCTTAAATATGCAGGTACAGAGAAACTTCAGTCCTGAGTCAACCTTATTGTAACTGTATCACATAAGCAATATCTTCAGTCAGAGATATTTCATTCCTCCATAGCTGAATAGTGAAACTGAGCCCAGAGACAGCTTATTGGAACAGCAAAAAACACCACGGCCAGCAGCTACTAAAAAGACTCACAGAACTAGCAAGTTGGAAAAGACACCAGAGGTCCACTATTCCAATGTGTTCCTGAAGCAGAACCATCTTCTAAAATAATCATGGGGTCGCAGATGATGAAGTGTCTTCCAGACTTCAGAGGCCAGCTGGTCCTAAATCCTTATTTTACAAATGATGATACTAAGCCCTATGGATGTGAGTTAGTATTACAATGAAACAGTTGAAAATAACCACAATACACAGAAAACTTGCCCACCGAGACTATTTGGAAAGGAGGTTTTGAAGGGCAAGGCTAGATCAAATTTAAATAATGTATGGAGTGGCAGCTAAGTGGCACAGTGGATACAGCATCGGCCCTGGAATCCTGAGGACCTGAGTTCAATTAGGCCTCAGATAATTGACACTAGCTGTGTGACCCTGGGCGAGTCACTTAACCTTGATTGCCTCACCCCCCCCCCCCCCCGCCAAAAAATAATGTATACAAAAAGTGTTCAACTTAAATCTATATGTATGGAAGTTGCTGTTATTATCATTATTTATTATTATAAAAACAATAATAATGGGTACTATCTTTGTCTCCAAGAAGGCATGCTTGGACTGTCAATGAACGAGATGAGAATTCATCAGGTCAGCAAGACAGCAGAGAAGCAGCACAGAAGCAGAGATTAGAGTGTTGGACTTGAAGTCCAGAAGACTTAAGTCTAAATCTTGCCACAGACACTAGCTTGGTGACCCTCAGCATTTCACTTAACCTCTCTGTATCTCAGAATCTTCATCTATAAAATTAGGCAGACAGACACTCAATGGCTTCTAAGGTCCCTTCCAGATCTAAATATATAATTCTATAGTCAAAAGGTAGAAAATTACCCTGATCCATGAGAACTGGGTAAAATAATCTCTTCAAATAATATGGCCTGGCTTGGTGTCTGACCTCAGTTCATGAAGAGCTTGCATGTGAGGCAAGGAGCTGATAGCAGATCTCTGCCTGCTAACTTTGCTGCTTTCTGATCTAGACATT